CCCATTTCATGAAAAAATTACTAGGTATGTGCAGTAGCGTGTGTCTCCAGTAACAAAACCAAGTGAGACAAAGAAATTCTTTGGTACTGGAGCCCAAAAGTATACGTCATAGCAAAGGTTCTTTCCAAAAACATAAATTCGTGAGGCGCGAGTCGATCGAAATATCGCCGTGAACCGACACCCGGCGTTGCAGTCACCCAATGCTGGGCGGCGCTTGCCACCGCAGGTAACACCAAGCCGTGAGTGGCAAGCGACACAAAATACCTTTGCGTAAAGAAACGATGCTACTGAGCGCTCCGTAAGCCGTCGTGTGAGAATGTCCCGGCCTAAGGCGTAATATGCGGACCATATATTGTCCGATTGGTTGCCTTTTGACGGAAACTTTTTTTGCTGTTGAGCATGAACTCGTTGTACAAATGTGCTGATTATTCTTGCTTTAGACTTTTACTTTTCTAAGACAACTCACGTGATGCAAACAAAACTATGTATAGGATAGGACTCAGAATATATTGTCTGGTGTACAACTGAATACATACAGCAAGTTCTCCAGCCTGTACCACGGACGCAGAAGGGGGGGGGGGACAGTAGCGTGACCCCATGCACATCTTACTCATTGCCGAGCCTGTGTAGTCGATGCACCGGCCCAAACAGCAACTGCTCACAGAGTGGAAACCCTAAACACGTGATGGCAGAGAGCGTTCGGTAGCAGAAATACCTTCGCAGCTGGGCTCCACATATTGCCGAAGCTCCAGCTCCAGCCTCAGACGTCCTCGGCAGTGCGACGCTGTGTCGCACTCCTAGTGTGAGCCAGATAGGGCAAGATGGCCAGCGGTGCCTGCACTTTGTTCCGCAGCACGCAGTCGCTGAGGTTTCGCAGTGGGGGCCGTGTGACTGGTCTGTGCCAGGGAATAAGTTCGGTGTATCTCATGGCCTCGACGTTTACCGCTAAGATAGCGAAGACACTGGGCTGAAGAAGGTCCTCGGTTTCCTGCCCACTAGCGGCGCGACGATCGGAACCGCCTTTTCGCGGACCTCGCGGTTCTCATCCCACACCATATCCAGCAGCAGGTGTTCCGGACGCACCCAGCACACGTTACGCTGGAAGACTGGCTTCACTGTGGCCTATGTGTACTGCGTCAGGTCGAGGAGCAGCGCGATGCTCCAAAACAAGTTGCATAAGCCAAAGTCGCAGCCGCTGTTTTGCCGGATAGCGGACCATACCGATACATAGTGGCCGACCACGCACTGAGCGAGGTTCTTGAAAGCGCTGCTGGAAGTCTCGGTAGAGATGTGAACTAGGAGCAGACCAGCGGCCAGTGTCAACCATCTGAAAACAAAAGCGAATATATTAGAACAATTCGCTACGAACTGAGCCAGCCAGTTAATGCGCGTCTTTAGTGTATGTAAGTATGCCAATATCCAGCCCTCAAATGTGACGGAATACATGTAAACAAATATGCTAGTAAGGATGAACCAACCAGCAAATGATGCGACATACTACGGCACAAGATATGATAATAATTAAATGCTCAACAGTGAGAACATGGAATATCGATTGATACTTGATGGACTTTAAACACTCATTGTGATAAGTTCGAAGATAAAGTGCTTTCATATTTACCTGACATGGTTCGATGGTCCCATTCGCCGCTGGGCCGTCACGTTTTGGACAGAGCCATTTGGAACGCCGGAGACCAGAAGGTAGAGCAGCTGCTGGTTGGTACTCAGCTGTTGAATCAGGTCGATCGGCAGGTTTGGCACGTACCCCGACCTAGGGTTGAATGCCACAACGTCTCTCTCCCAGACCTCTCCGGCACAGGTCTCGTCGATGGGTCCAGAAAAAATTTGATCCTGTGGTCGTGCCGTCCAAGCTCAGCAGCAGATGGAGGAGGTTCAATTCGTTGCCACGCAGCTGGCAGATGAACCAGTGTACGGGTGACTCGGCGGCCAGCTCAAACAGCCGGAACACGTCGAGTATCGTTTCGGTGTTGACGGCCGTGCCACCGCAGCCGAGCACATTGATGTGACCGTCGTGCTGCGGGCTCACGGAGTGTAGTTCGTTGAACGGGTGCAGGGTGCGGCCGAACTCGGACGTAAAATGAGTCATGTAGCGGCTGCCTGGCTCAGTAATGACAACCACGTGTTTTTCGACGGCATTCGTCTGGCTCCGTGTGGCTCGTGAAGCTCCTGCCTTCGCGTCCGTCGGAAAAGAGGACTGTCGAACCTGACTCGTGGATTGCTCAACCATTTTGACGAGCCGTCTATTTTCTCCTTCCGTCTCTTGCGCAACAGATCTTCTTAGGATCTACGATATTTGATTTCAAGTAGCCAGCCCATCTCTGCTGTATTGTTGAAAGGCGATTATAGCAGCAGCAACCCGTTTTGAACCACCGTAGCCGTCAACCGCCAGAGAGGTGTTAGTCAGATCGTTAACGTTATAATCTTTGGTGGCAGTGGTCTCAACCGGAACGAACAATCGGCGTCGTCGCCGTCTTCCACTATGCACGGAATCGTGAATGAATACATGAATCCGTGCTCTCAGCTCACTCGTCAGCACTGAGACCACTTGGTCCCGGAGCAGGCTCGGGGTCAGCACTAGCAGCAATCGCTGGCTCTGCAGGAGGCGCGGATTCAGCAGTCGGCGGAAAAGGCGACTCAGGTTCAGCAGCACACACCGCTTCACTGACGAACGAGCCACGACGCCCCTGGAGTTGTCTGGCCACCTTCCGCATCTCACGAGCCTCTCTAGTCACAATCATCCTCTCTAGTCACAATCCCGGCCATACAACCCCAGGGTAAGCTTCCGGTACCTGCACTGGTCCATCATGGCAACCTCCTCCTGATACACTGTGCAGGCAACTGGGCATGGAAAACTGCACTGAGGCTTGCACTGGCATTTCGCGACATCAAGAAGCTTGTTGAATTTCGCGGTGGCGGCGTTGCTGTGTCACCTTCTTTCTTTCTTTGATTTCTTGCTGATAGATCTGTTGGGATGATATCAATCTTTCTCTACCAATTTTACCACGTATTTTAGATCATGGGCAGTGATCGCTTCGTTGGTCCACAGTGCCTTAATTTCTACCGTCGCGGTCTTGAAGATGGTGTTTGTTTGTTTCTTTTGTTTGTTTCAAAATGTTTCAGTACTGGCAAAACTAAACTAAAGGTCCGCATCTCTCACGCAAAAAGCACATAAATTGCAAATCAACATCACAATGATACGTTAGCGATAGCAGACTTGAGCCTTACCCGGTCTCCTAGGGCATTTCCATAGCTGCACAGCCTTGGATTTTATCAAAAATTAATGTGTTCTTTACTAATAAGCTCGCTTTAACGCTGTTTGGCAATGTTTTGCTGATGCTCTTCATGATATTATTTCATACTTAATCTGCCAAGTACCAGCAGTGTGGAAAGCGGCAGCGTTGAGGCTTGTTGGAGGATGATTCCAGTGCGTGAAATAGGTCGCGCTAGTATCGAATGCGGTTTTCTTGGTCTATAAAAAACTGCTCTCGCCTCACGAATATCAACATCCGTGCGGTGCGACAGACCTGAAAGCTTGTCATTAACCCATGTGCCAGGGAAAAACTTTGTCTCATCTGATTTCAATAGATTCACCCCCTCGATGACACACTCTAATGTGCTGCATGCACCCGAAAGAAAAAAAAAAACAGGAAAACGGCCGATCCATCGCGTAAGCCTCCGAGAACGACCTTATAAGACATCGGGTCACAACTGATCTCGTAATATGACGAAACAGGTTTTTACCCTCACATCTTAAGCGTAAGTTTTTACCCTCATATCTTCCCCCGCTGCATCGGAAAAACTGGGGCGGGGGGAGTGATCGATTGGCGCCTGCTGGTAAGACCAGGGCTCAGCTCCAACGCGTGGAAGTCGAACCTCAGACGTGTCAAGGTTGGAACACATCATCACTGTGATTCACACTTGTGTTTTGTTTCGGATAATTTTGACTTTGTGTGTCTCGAGAGAAGATTGTCCCAGGCTTAATTCACAGCGCTTGGACTTACCTTGGCGTGTACCGCACGCGTCACGTGCATGCACACCCTCGTGGGATATCATATTATGAGAAATAACATTAAAGGAGGTGTTAGACGCTTCCTCATTTTAAAACATGTTGGGAGACATTAACATTGAAAGGATAGTAAGCGTCTCCATCTTACTGACATTCTCCTAAAGCCCTGGATTTACATATAGACTGGAACATAACTGAGCGGATAAGATTGCGAATATAAAACACCACTGAAGCGCATGATTGGCTTTTCATTAACCATGCGAGCAACAAGACCAAACCAATCTGGCGGCGAAGTCATTTCAGCCGTATCACGCCGCTGACTCAAACCAAAGCGTAATAACACTTATTGAACTGCTGTTAGTGGGATTGAAGCCTTGTGAAGCCGTGCTCATCTGCTACAATGAGGAAAATTTGAGGCCCTCGCGGGTAAAAATCCCGTTACCTAATCCACTAGCTACGCAGGGCGCTTTGCCCACACAAAACCGCAGCCTATTCCCAATCATTGTTAACACCCGTTTGTCATTTTCCAGCAGTTCGGCTATAAGTTATGGAAACTTGTCGGAAACGTTTACACCCAGATTTTTGCCCTTTTACGCTGGTCATACAACATTGGTGCGAAGGGAGTCGATTATAATAAAATCCTGCACGCAGTATCGTTGTGTACCATCTTTAACTACCTACATGCCATGTCGTAAAAGGAATTGCCCATTGAAAAAGGAATTACCCGCATACATGCCCATAATTTTTCAAAAATATGCACCAAATCTAAGCCATCGCTCATTCCATATCGACACTTATTGGTTTACCCACCCGTGAAGTCCTCTGGGAGACACGTACAGTTAGACATCGTACCACCCAGCTGTAGCCGATATGAAGAGGCAATCAGCAATACTGCCTGTCACCCTCCTATAGTTAATTACTAGTCCCAATGGAATCCCAGCCGGAAAAATCGTCCAACAGCGACGAACTCCACCCTGTCCACCACCATCTTCCGCTTGCCCACCTTGATGGCGTCCGCGATCATGCTCCACTCGGTCTTGGTGGATCGCACGATGACGATGCGATCCCAGCTGAAGCGCAGCAGCAGCGACACCACTGACTTGGAGATCTTGGTGGACGGCGGCCGGGTGCGGGCTGTCGTCGGGTACGTGTCCTTGTTGGAGATCCTCGGATCCGAACATTGCTGCCGGGAGAAACGGGAGTTATTGGTGCGGTTGGGTATGGAAGATCTCCCAAGACACTCGGGTCTAACCGTGGCTGCCGGGGAACAGAGAAGTTTGAGGGAGTATCCGTTTTTGAGATCATCGTACGTTAACATATTGCCTGAAACAGGGAAGCTGAAGATACGCACGTTTGTTGAGGCCATTGATATCCGAGCTTTGTCGCCAGCAGATGATCAGACCTGACAATAATGGACAATGTTTGAGACCATCTGTTCCAAACACTGCTGACGACAGACAGAAGACTTGGAATAGGAGAGTTATGAATACAGCTCCCTGTTCGAGGCCTCGAAAACACTGTTGCGGTAAAGAGAAGGGTTCGCTAGCTGTGGCACGCTAATGTGTTGGGGATTGCCGAGCTCAAGCGTTGTTATCCTGAGGCTGACAGTGACAAACATTAGTGTTGGAGAAGAGCAGTGCTTCTGTATACAAAATGGAGGGTTATGATGACGTAGCTCAACCATGTGTAGTTGCACCAAAAAGGTACCCATAAAGCAGATATGAGTTGATGTAAATGACAGTGTGTTCAAGAGGTCACAATTGTTTGCCGATGTTTCGTTTGCTTTCCCTCTAGCGGGCTCTGAGTTTTTGTACGCGTAGACAAACTAATGTTAGCTTGCACTCACCTAATTTTTCGAAGCCTTATTTATATACATTGCACGTCACATTGGTGGTGGCATTGCTTGTAAATATATTTTGTGCAAACTTTTTGTTTTCCCGATGTTCGGCACTGGTGGCTGTGAACTCAGGGTCCGTACTAAGCAAAGCAAAGCTACAAAACTAAGCAGATAATGCAGACAGAACTTGATTATGTTTCGACAAAGCCCAGCACCATAGGGGTCGGGGTTCAGCGCGCCGTGAAAAGCACGACGTCACGTCTTCACCTCTCCGGGTCTTCCCTCTGGCCAGCAACCGACTCACCTCTAGGTCAGATTTGGACCAGACAACGCGCGCAATTCGATACTGATACACAGCATTAGTATGAGAGCCTGAGCTGCCACCAACGTTTCCCATAAGGAGTGCGGTCGGACGAGGGCCGGATCGAGCGCATGATTTTTGGAAACCACGATCAGAACACAGCACCGATTTCCCGAAGGCCAAGTTTCAAGAGCAAGCTGCCGGCTTTCTTCGGACGTGGCCCTGGGAACATCTTAGGGTCATTGTCCCACCTAGCTTTAGACTGATAGCGATCCTGTGCAGGACACCGCTCTTCTCCAATAACGCTGGCTGGCGCGGGTGTATGACGAGAGCGGTCACGTTACGGGCAAGACAAAGATACAGCACATACCGAACATGATCATATCACAGCTCGCAGCCAACCCCTTGGCTCATCTGCTGGCCGTTATTGCTTGGAACGGGCGAGCGCTGCGGTAGCTGTGATTCCAGCTGTATCGACTACTCTGGGTAAAAATAAAGGGTCAACGATCCACGGGCTTCGACGCCGATCGCCACGCTTCAAGTTGTTTTTAATTACTCGGAGTGGACGTCGAAGCTATCATGAGCTCTGCGTCGACAGCCATAATACTAAAAGGAGCGTAATCTCGTCCTGCAGCGACGGCGGGTCCAGCGCGCCGCCCTCGGACTCTGGCTGCGGGAAAAGCCCGCAATGGTCTCCGGTGTGGAAACAGCTTTCCTTGATAAAAGCGACTCAGATTTTCTTGAAGTCAAGATATATGCTAACCCCTGCCGGAAGTTGGCCATCTCGGAGAGGGTTATAACCAGCTTCTCCCCTGGTTCCCTCGTGTCTCGCAGCACCTAGCCTTTATTCCTGAAATACGTCTCAGTTTTTTAACAGTTGTGAATTCGTGGGACACCGTGCGAGACAAGTTGCAGGCAAACCGCAGTGACATTAACTTTATCTGCACCGAACACCGCACCCGCAGTTACAACGGCCAGCCGAAAACGGCCCGACCAGTGTCGTAACAACGAGATTCCGAGCCCGACCAGTGTCGTAGCAACGAGATTCCGAGCCCGACCAGTGCCATAACAACGAGAATCCGAGCCTGACTGCCGTAACAGCGAGATCCCGAGCCCGACCAGTGCGGTAACAACGAGAATCCGAGCCCGACCAGTGTCGTAGCAACGAGATTCCAAGCCAGAAAAGTGTGTGTGTGGGGGGGGGGGGGGGGGGAACTGATGGGTGTTAAGCAAAAAAGCGTCATTACGTCCAAACGACTGAATGGTGCCACGGTCGGTGAGGTGAAGGAGCCCAATCTAAAATGTGTCGCCCGTGTTTCAGCGTTCACACGGGGTATGTCCAAACATGTAAACGTCTTCATTTTGTCACCCCGAAGTCCCAACACGCCAAGAACGTGTTTTGTTTGTGTTTTGTTTTGCAGTGTTTTGCAGCAACAATCTTGGATCATAAAGCTTGAAGGCTTCCAGAAATTTTACGGTAGCGCAATTTGGTGACTTATTTTCCTGCGAGCTACCACCATGCTGATTGGGGCTTTATGGCGCGTCGAGTACTAGGCCGTATAACGTCCATAAATAAGTAAGACAGACACTCAGGACTGCTCGTCTGAGTTTGAACCATCCCAAAACGTCAAAAAAGCGATGCGTAATGCTAAGGAATAAAAGATGTTCCACATTTGCGTGGGGTTTGAACTCAAGCATACTGTCATACTCATACTGTCATACTGAAGATTATTCGGTGAAGTTTCCAGCCCTGCCCATCTCAAGACCTGAACTCTTCTAGTTTCTGAGCTTCACACCCGCAAAGATGTGCAGGCTATTTCGGAGCAATCTAATTCAACGTCAACAAGACATCCATTACGCCATAATAACGTCCTCCAAATCTTGCAATTCCATCAGCCATGCAGTGAACGAAAGCCAAGACAACTACATTTTTCGATTCTTACTTATCTGGCGTTCGTGAATACCATTTCCAGATATAACGGCCATCAATTGGCTTTCAATCAATTTGCGCAAGTTGCAATGACACAATCAAACATTGAGCTTTGAGGAGCATATTTACATTACAGAGAAACAGTGCTGTCTAGAGCGGTCTGTTCCACTTAAAGGTGTACTTATTGTAATGAGTGGCATGACTACACCATATGTGATGCCTGCTTCAACATCTTCAAATGTGGAGCATTCCCTTTAATTGATCACAGTGAAAATCAAAGCACTGGGCCGTTGAACCGTTGCAAGCACATTTACTAACTTACAAACGCAAACATCACACAAGCAAGCAAGTTACTTTTCGACATTTATTTGTTCTGCTTAGCGTGCACAACTGGGATAAATATAACGTCACATTACAACTTTCATCTACAGCTAAGTTCCAGAGCATGCTCGAGGCCGTAACCGACGCCGAGAAACGCTGGATGCGCCTCGGTCGCGAGGTGGCTTGGACCTCCTAAATCTTCTCTCGCCCTGTCCGTCCAACGTCAGGCTCGCGGGTAACGACTCGATTGCGTGGTCGGAGACTATCGACTCCCTTCGGACTTGATAATTGCCATCAGGGAGTCACACGAGGTCATGCGCCCCAGCAAGGTCGGCGGTCACACACACGACTGCGACCAGGCTTGGAAGACAAATGGTGCCACTTGCCGGATATGGCTGGGCATCCCACAGGGCACACAGGAGATTCAGTCCTGTCAATAGTCAGGTGCGAGGCGTGAGTGGCTGCATCAGGTTAATAGCACGTACGTGCAGCAGACAGCAGCAATAATACGGGGCGTGGCGAGCGGTCGACTAGCATTCATCTCTGTCCGGACGCTTCCCTTTCCTATTGAAACAAATGCAAAAGTATAGTACTGATAGCTTTAATATAGTATTATCCGCACTAGCCCAATATTCTACTTCATCGAACATACGCCTCAGCATTACTTCTATTAAACAGACCGCGTAGTCCCGCCCGGTCATCCATTTAGTTATTATTAGTTAGTAGTATTATTAGTTATACGCTGCATTACTTCTACGGGGAAAAAAACAATAAAATGCGTCGTCTTTACTTATACGCCACATTACTCTACTGTAAAAACCCCGTACACGATATGAGTGCTTCACGGTTAGACTGCTGAAAAACACATACTCGTCGCTTCTTCTATTCCTGTCATTATGGCTCCTGCAAGAATCTAAAGCATTACTTTATCAGCGAAAGCACTTTACCGGCCAACACCTACATTTGCTGCATTTGTGCATCCGGTGCTCACAAGCGGCACCGCGACTCAGATCGGTGCTGACGTCATCCCACACCATCACACCCGTGGGCGTCCTCTCACACCATCACACTCGCGGAGGTCATCCCACGCCATCACACCTGTGGATTTCATCCCGCCCATCACACCCGCGGACGTCACCCCACACCATCACACCCGCGGACGTCATCCCGTTCATCACACCCGCGGACGTCACCCGACACCATCACACCCGCGGACGTCATCACACACCATCACACCCGCGGAGTCATCCCATACCATCACACCCGCGGACATCATCCCACACCATCACACCCGAGGAGTCATCCCACACCATTACGCCCGCGGAGTCATCTCACACCATCACACCCGCGAACGTCATCCCGTCCATCACACCCGCGGAGTCATCCCACACCATTACGCCCGCGGAGTCAACTCACACCATTGCGCCCGCGGAATCATCTCACACCATCACACCCGCGGACGTCATCCCACACCATTAAGCCCGCGGAGTCATCCCGCACCATTACGCCCGCGGAGTCATCCCACACCATTACGCCCGCGGAGTCATCCCACACCATCACAGCTGAGGCAGTGACCGATCCGCGGCACCGCCAGGGCCTGGTCGGCATCGTTCACCGCCGGCCATACTATCAAATTTGCATTCGAGCTGCTCAGGAACACCCCGAGGTTTGGAGGAAAGCAGCTGGCGTGACAGAGAATGCGGGAACGGACATGAAGCGAGGAAAATGCATTAATAAATTCAAACGAGCGTGAAAGATTGCAAAACTTCACGATTGCAACGCCAGAGGTGTAGTTTTCTGTTTAACCGGGGAGAGTGTCTCCAGCTCCCCAACTTTAATGAGAAATGCAACTGCGGGAAAACCGGTTCCCCAAATATTTTAAAAGCGTTAGTTATTTTCACTGTTTAGCACCTTCCTGCCCCTAATTATGTTGCCGAGTACACTTCTGGGCAGGAAGTAGTTCTTAATTAATTAACTTTGAGCAGGGATAAGGTGAAAAATAGCAACAGTCAATTCGGGTGTGATTGCGTTATCAAAGTTACTTGATATCATTGAAGCGTTACTGAAAGGCACATACACCTTTGGATAATACTGGACTTCGTCAATGCATCCATGTGATACAGGTATTTGACACGCAGTATTATCTATGCTCCAACTTGAGACCGCAATGATGACGGCATCGCGCGGCATGGAGCGGCACAATTCAGAAAAGCCTCCTTCCTTCTTCACATCTTCAGGTGCGCATTTCGTGCTTATTCAAGTTACACAGGTCTCAAAAGCCATCAATATCTCCAGCATTGACACCACGCCGCCGCCATGTCTTTGGAGCTTTCGAACTGCCACACCTCATAATCCATCCGACGATTCCGGCTGACCCCGGAGAACATCGTCGGATGGATTATGACCCCGGAGAACATCGTCGGATGGATTATGACCCCGGAGAACATCGTCGGATGGATTATGACCCCGGAGAACATCGTCGGATGGATTATGACCCCGCCCCTCTGCTGACAACATAAGGCGCTGGTTTAACCGAGCACACACCAGAAGCACCCGCATCGGAGACAAATAACCTCCCGGAACAGCGAGTGGCGCCACGCGTCATCGCAACCTGTTGGGTGGTAGTTTCCAGCGTATCACCAAGCCGGCCATCCGTCGTCTGGCTCGCCGCGGTGGCGTCAACCGCGTCAGCGGCCTCATCTACGAAGGGACGCGCAGCGTTCTCAAGGTTCTTCAGGGGAATGCTATCCGCGACGGCGTCACCTACACCGAGCACGCCAAGCACAAGACCGTCTCCGCCACGAACGCTGCCTACGCGTATTGTTCGCTGCTGTACAGATATCGATGGCTCGCTTATTGCTCGCATTGCTCATCCGCTAAGATGAGCTCGCCAGTCGGGTGTCTGCCGGCCCATCGGTGGTGCCCGCCCCGATAGGGAAGGTCATTGATTTGATGCACGCTACCAAGCGGAACGTATTTCTGTGCCCGTCAGATGAAACTGGACTTTTGCAAGGCTGTGTGGAGAGGGTTCAGCGTCATAAACTCAGACCAGGGTGTTGGATGCGTCGTCAGTGGTCAGGACAGCGCAAAGTTGGCATGTACGTCAAGTGGACTTCGCAGCACTTGAACGTAACTTGCCCATGTTTGGTCGTAGGGAGGCCTGCCCCAATAAAATCCCTGATTTGTGCCACCACTCTGTTCATGTCAATGTGTGACGTTGCCACATTAGTCACAGTTCAGTCCACCCTGAACGCGTAACGACTGGTTGTGTTTCCTAGCCTTTTAGGTCCCTGTACCCTGCGAACAGAGCATAAGGCATGCGTATTAACACGCGCTCGGGTGGGGGCCTCAAAGTGACCCCCCAAAGGTTTTTCCAAACTGATTTCCGAACGGCGTGGCGTAGCCGCGCCAAATTGTGCATAGCTGTAGAAAATTGAATGACGGATCGTATGGTATCAAAAATTTAGATTCAAAACTTTAAATAAAAATTATGCAAATATATATATATATATATATATATATATATATATATATATATATATATGTGTGTGTGTGTGTGTGTGTGTGTGTGTGTGTGTGTGTGTGTGTGTGTGTGTGTACCTTGTAGGATCGTGGACCTGTGGCAGGTCAAAGTCAGGCCGTGGTTTCAGCGAAGGCAATTTCTAGGGAATCGTTCAATCTGATACAACAACGGAGTGTTAGACCAAGCCATACATCTCTGAAATGCTTTCTTAGGCAATACAACAGTTAAATGAGTAAATTACGTTTACCTAAGCTTAGGTATGAAGGTCACACCAAGGTAAAAAACAACGTGTTTTATACTCCAGGGTTTGCTGTATGGGATAGCTTCTGGTGCTCATTTCGAATTTATTGATAACAGGAACCGCATTACACATCTTTCATGGACCTTTATAGGTCAGAATAAATCATTGACCTAACATGACCCAGGTCAACATTTTATTTTAGCAACACCACATAGCGTAATATTTGTCGCTTAGCCAAATGCAGAACTCAAAGCAATCTTGTATGATTTTGGTCACCATGGCCTTTTATAGGCAAAACAAGATGACTGACCTTAAATGAGCATGTGGCTTTTTGCTTAGAAACGGTTATCTGGGTTCCGAGGACACTTTAGAGACCAACCTGGAACTTGACCTTATTTGACCCTTTTTGGCCCAAAGGTCATAACCTGGGAACCTGAAACTTTGACCTAAGTGATTTCAAGTACAGGTCAACACACCCTGTAAATTTTGTGCCTCTAGCCCTCTTAGTTCTTGTGATCTCAGGGGTCAAATTGACCCTCGCCCGAGCGAAGGGTATTTAACCGGCCACCCGGGCGCGCGTTAATTCATACTTTGAACAAGATCATGTAAGCTGCTAATAGGCCAGATGTTGTGCACGCTCTAAAGAAGCGTTCTTCATGATGATCGCATTCTTGCAACACAAATCATACCATTTCATTGAGTTCTCGGTATCTTGCCTGAGAAAACACACACACACACATATATATATATATATATATATATATATATATATATATATAGATATCTTCTGTTCAGTGCCAGCGGTGCATGTAAGTGCCTGTGACAAAATTAACCTCCAGTCAGTTCTTGGCGCTTACTAGACCTATTGTCACTGTCCTTCCTTCCTGTTAGCGCCGCCTGTGTGATTTTCTACGTTGATTCATATATGATTTGGCTGCTTAGCCATTGCCCTCTGGAATTCTTATATTCTCGGCCATTGGCGCCTCATGACGCACTCCGCTCTCGAGGCTCTATGGCGCCGCCGACCTCTCATCCTGGCAGGTTGGGCATCACTGGGAATCGAAAAATTTTAGCAGGCACCGCAGATCGGAGGCGGACAATGCAGGGCAACTTTAGCAGGACTTCCCCGTGGTTCAGAACGCCAGGACAGGTCAATCCTCACAAGCGCCCCCTCCCCCCTTCCTACCCTACATTTCCCCCTGGCAACGGATCATCGCACAGGCGGGCGGACGGCGAGCAGTCCCCTCGCCCCACCACCGGCGGGCATGTGTGAAAAGCATGAGATGCATGACCACTCAGCGCTGGACAGCAATGACCCGCGGCCGTCAGGGGCGCACCCAGGAGCGCTACAGGGTAGGCGGGGTGGGGACGCCACCGCGTAGAAAGGGGCGGCGCCAGCCCGTTCGGCCGGCGGGCGTCGGAAATCCGTGTCGGCGGCGCGGGGTGGACGGCAGCCACACTGGGAACGCCTCTGCCGACCGCTTCCTCACGGGATCTCCGCGGGAAGATTGGTTTTCGGCGCCGCGGCGTGCTGCCGGCGGTCGGGCGGAGAGCAAACATTCATCATGGTCGTCCCAGGGGTACGGCACGGCGTCGAGACGGCGCCCTCAAGAGGCCATCGTTAGCGCGACATTTGGCGGAGCTGAAGAGGTGCTGGCGATCCGACCTGGTGCCTTTGTAAAAGGAAATCTCATTTAAGATGCTTGAGACTCAGTTTGAGGGCGTAAAGTATCTACTTATGTGGAGTAATTTTCTACTCAGTTTGTCGGCACATTTTTGGGGGCTAGGCTTCGTCATTTTCCACTGCTCAGCCTCCAGCTGATCTTACGAAGCTAGAAGCTAGAAGCGAAGCTAGACTACATGGCTGAGGAGACCACCACGCCCCTGGCTTGTTAGACCACATCAAAACGAGAGACCATTGTCGGTGCCGGAAAAACCAAGAGCCGCCGTCGCCGTTACAAGCATGGCGCCATGTTCAGCTGATGGTATGCTCTGCAATGAACTGGATGCATCATGTCGATCAGAATGATTGCACGGCAATAAGAACAATCGCTCGAGCATCGTGTCAATGCCACTACGACCATTGCTGCACTACGGCGCTGCCATTTGTCCGCTGCGGTCAAGGGGGCGGAGGGGGGGGGGGGACAACGGACCACCGGTGTTGTGGAATAATGAGTCGGTTACAGTTTAACGGAACAACTGAAACGGATTATTAGTCTAACGGTCGGGATGGTGGTTCGGACAATTACCCTTGTCTTCTGTGTTAGTAGTTTATAAGTAGTATTGCAGTAATAGTAATAACTACACCGGACCTTTGCATGCAGGCTGTATGGGTCACGGACCACATTTGAGAACAAACCAAAATATTTGAAGCATCGGATAAGCCGGACCAGGACTGCGGTATGTCATCAGGTAAAAGCGTGTCACCAGCTGGGTGCGCCCGGCCCCGGACGGGGTACGCGGACCTGGCCGAGCGACTTGCCGATGGACAGCGAGCACCCCTCGGGAAGAACCGGGATCGCCCGCAGGCGGTCGTTTTCCGCCCGCGTTCGCCAGCGTTTGGGCACTTGTGCGCCGTTAGCTGTTTGCCAAAATTGTTTTCTTTAGGAGTGGTATGTCTTGCGTAGATTCGTGACTGCTGGATGCGGTGATGTCGATTTGTTGGAGTTTATTGATCATTTAAGCCAGAAATGCATCGTCTGATATCGGTACTTGTTTGATTGCCGACATTGTGGAACTTCTTTGCGAGGTGAACTTACTTGGCGCCAAGCCACCACCTTTCTCTTTATTCGGCGTTTGATGGCGATGGCGGCGACTTCGAACACGTCCGTGGCCAGTCTGTAGTAAGGCGATACCGTCGGTAGGCGTAGACGAACGGATATGATGATAAGGTTCATTTGTCGAGTTATGGGATCAGTTTGAAGTGTATTGGTAGTCAAATAATGGTTTCATTATAACGCAGCAGATAAATCTGTGTGATGGAAATTGTTTTGATTGCAGCATGTCTTTTCATTGCATCTATACAACGGTGAAATGTTTCCCAGAAACCGCATCATGGCTCTCGGCACAATACCCTGTACCAGAGTTATGCACGCGTTTTGACAACGGCATGAGTCATCTGACAACGTGTGTGCGTCATGGTTCTTGGCACAATACAAGATGCCAGAGATACGTACGTGTGTCGACGACTTTTGAGGCTGTGGGCGGTTGCATTAGGTCACCAAGATGGGCGTAATGTTTGACTCCGAAGATGATTTTCATAACCAAGTACGTATTCGTTATTTCGCGTCACCGATGCTTCAGGATTGGTCCCATAAAAACTGAGTACATCAAGGACTACAGCAGCGCGGTAGGACGCGTTGCTCCATGATGACGGAACAAAAACGCTTTTAAATTAAGGTTAACCGTTTTTTCGACACGGCTGAAAAACGACAACTAGTCGCGTTCCCGTTTCTCTTTTTGCTTGTACCTTTCGGAATAAGGCGCCTTTGGAATGCGACGGGATACAGTAAGGTACCAGTCGAATAAACGCTAGCATGAAAATGGCCACTGTAAGAGGGCTGCGGTGTAGGGGTACTGTGTACATGCTACATGTCTGGTGTGTGAGCATACCAACGTACCAAGCGAGCGTGGCAAAACGAGCGATTATTTCATCAATGAGAATATTGTTCCTGATCTCTTTAAAAAAAAAAGACTGAGAGCTTGCCAATTGTCAGCGATCTCTTGCCGTCGGACGGCTGTCTCAGTCGATCCCTAATCAATCCCTTCGGAACAGCGGCAGTCCAGGACAGCGGTAGTCCAGGACAGCTGTCCAGTAGAGCGGCAGTCCAGGACAGCGGCAGGCCAGTTGGCAGTGCTGCCCCAGTCCTAATCGCCGGAAACGTCAGCTGGTTAGTCACGATGACCCTGCTGGCATGGGTGTAAATGGCGCTCCGGCAGCCGACATGAATAAGGCTGGCCCCAGGCGGTACAAGTATAGGAGGCGATGACAGTCGGTCACAAGGCGTTATTTGACGGGTCTTATTTACGCGAGGACGCCAGATTTCCAATATCGGCTCAACAGCCGGCGCCCGCCCGTCACGCTGAGGCCCACCGAGGCCCGCGGGAGGTGAGGAGTGGGCATCAGGTGCTGCTCCCGCCGCATGCTGCCGCAATGAAGATTCGTCGGCCGTCGTTTAGCGCTCCCCGGGCGTCGCAGGGATGGTTATTTTCGCGTCGCATCTGTCAACGTCGCTGCGCTATCCAGGCCCGCCCACCTGCGGCAGCGACGCTCGACAACGTCCGGCATCGCCCGGAAGGCGTCGGATTCACAGAGAGGTCAACTGACACAAAAATAGCTGACCCTTCGCTCACCCCGCGGCTGCCATGCACCGGCCGGTCGAAGCATGATACACTACTTCGGCACCCTGACCGTTTTCATTTCGCTGTTATTCGAGCCGCGGCGATGTGTTCAGAGTAACGGGTAGTACGAATAAAGCTGATGAAGTGGAGGACTGCGTTAGCGTATTGTAAGACGGGAGCCTGAGGGCGACTTTTTCCAACGGAAAAGTGCTCCATATATTCTAAAAAAAGAAAAAAAAGAAGCAACAGACAGCCAAACAGCTGGAACGGATGCCGACACAAGTAATATGAAAGCTCACGTAGGAAAACAGTGGCTGGTTTACGGGCTCCTAGAATGCAAACCGTATGCTGCATAGATTTGGCTATGACTTCTGTGCCTATGTGTCCCGTCTATGCAGATCGTTATTGGCCATTGTGGACAAAGCACAAGATTCAGAGCCTGAGCAGACTTTTGGGAGCCGACGCCGAAGGAGCTCCCAGACCAGTCAGGCATTTGGGAGCCGACGCCGAAGAAGCTTCCGGCTGGGCAGGATATTTCCAGATCTCTCGACAGAGGGCGCTGTTTCGGCCTCGACCGATCAATTCCGGTTTCGACGCCTGATGTTCCGTGTCTCCAGACAATTTCGAGCTTCCTGTCACCGGCTTTAATGCTGCTTGATGGATACTCGAGTCATGACTATGGCGCGTCCAATGGCGCACTCTGGGTGAACTCGGTGATGGACGGAGGTGGGTTGGGCAGTTTTGAATTGACTAAACATTGCGTCTGGTGAATATGCTAATGCTGAGAGCCTCTGCATCACCACGGTGGGCTTCAAATGCATACTTCAACAAACACGCTGGGCTGGTGCATGGCAGATTATCAGGGTAATTCAGATGGGGTTATGCAGGGCAGGTTACTAGGGAAATCCGGCCAGCCTGCAGCAGGGCAGATTTACCAGGGTAATTCAGATCAGCCCGTACATTGCAAATTGACCGTGGTAATTCAGCTGGCACGGGGCAGGCCAGAACACCAGGGTGTTTGGCTGGGCTGGTGCAGGGCAGATTAACATGGCATTAGACTATAAGCGGAAATTCGTTAGAAAACAATAGACTTGAAATACAGCATGGCCGGATACTCATGTGTATCCGGCGCAGAGCCGTCTCCGTAAGATCCGCTCAGCTGGTGAGGTTTCCGCGGCTATCAAATGAACAAGGCCGTATGTTGGTAGCCTGGCAGAGCCGTGCTGTTTTTCATACTTGTAGCAAAGTGATGATATAATCGCAAGCATCACCTCTCAGTAAAAACATCAGGCTCAAGATGTGCAGACTGAAAGGCAATGAAAAATGGCGTAAGTTGTCGACAGACGAGGCGGCTGCGGCGGCGCGCAGAACAGGACGCCTTCACACGCTCCAAACCTCGACGTCCTGCAAAACATGGCAGCCGGCTCACAAAACGAATAACCGTCCCGGAAAAAAACAGTTGTCGATGCGGCGCCCCGCCTCTACAGCTCAAAACAGGTTTTTGTCGCGTAGCTGGACTCACAGCTTGTTAACTGTCTTGACAATAGTGTCCCACGCTCCAGACGTAATGCGTTTTTTTCCAGCCAGAACCAATTGCATGTTCGCCGACACCTGCGCGTGGGCGAATTCTGTTTCCAGCCAAGCCCGGGACCGGGCGAGGTGGACGAAGGGCATCCTTCAAATGATGGTGAACACAAATAAGTAATGCGGCGAATTGATCAAAGCCAGGCAGCTATGTTAGCCACGGGGTGCGGACCGCGTGGGCTGCTTTGACCGGCCAGGCAATAAGCCAGGGGTCGAGGTCAAGATAGAGTGCGCGCGTCATCACGCAAGGCCTCCCGCCATGCACGTAAGGAATGACGGCAAGCAGGGCGCAGGGGAAGGTAACAGGTGCTGGTGTTGCAGACTGGACGGTACTTTTCTTCATTATGTCCGCAGTCATGTCGGCATTCTTCCTGTGCTGTCGTGGGGGCCCCTCGCAGACTGGCTTCTGTATTCTTGCGGAGGCCCCTCGTGGGTGGTTTTCTGTGCTGTTGCGGAGGCCTCTCGACGGGAGGGGAAGGGGGAGGGGGGGGGGGGGGGGGGGTTCGCAGTGAGCTTGAAATTTCGCTTGTTTTTTGCACCTGGTTAAGATCCAGACACCAGGAGTGAGGCCTGACTGACGTGGTTGCTGAGCGCCCAATACACAATCTAACAAGCATGCTCCTGAGTGGTCCGCAGAAGCTTCAATCACAGCTGGCTCTGGACGGAGCCAATGAAACAAGGTCAAAAAGATTAATAAACGTGCACTTTTCGAGGCAGAAAACCTTCTGATGAAAAGCAGCGGATCTGGAATGAGCACGGTATGTGAAATCCCTTTCCGCTTTTCTTTTCCCACTGCTGCCTCCCAGGGCAGCCTTGCCCATCTTCTTGCAAACTTCGTAGCCCTGCTGTAAAACTCAGGCCAACATGCCATCGTTCTTCTGTATTGTTGCCTCAGCTCAGCCCAGCCACTGAGGCATTGAGAGGCTGCATTTTCTGCCCCCTCAACAGACGCTGGCTAAAGGTCGATGGCTAGACCCCCAGGGTGTAGGATGCACCCGATACGCATCACAAAAAGCTTCCGCGGATCCATAGCCAGAGCCGTGGGGAAGGGTCTGTGAGACCAGCATGCAAAAGACTTGCTTGCTGTTGTCTCTGCAGGGCCTGATGAAGGCAAAACTAGTTTATAAAAACCAAGTTTTGGTCGACTCTAGCCTGCGGTCGACCCGCGGCGCGCTTCCTGAATCAGGAGGTGGGAAATAACGCTAAGTGGTGTATAATATTGAACCACTTTTATGACCACGAAAGATAGAACGATGTATGGGCTGTTCGGTATGCACGACACGAGGGCATTGTATTGTATTGCATTGAGTAGCTCGTGTTTTCACACCTTTCGCAACTAGTTAACAGGAGTGCTCCACATTTGCATGGGGGTTTAAATTGAAATAACCATCTTGAAGATCATTCGGTGCAGTTTACAGTACTACCCTTCTTTTCTGAGCTACACACCAGCAAAAATGTGCAGACTATTTCGGGGAGACCATTTGAAGTTACCCAGGTGTTGGTGACGTCGCAATGGCGTAATTCAAAACCTGTCATTCCATTGGACGAGCAGTGATCATGGCAAATAAAAATGTAATTGTTGAAACGTTCATGTACGGCGTTCGTGAGCACGATTTGCAGATATAACGTCCGCCAAATGGCTTCCGATCCACCCAATCGCGGCCGGAGTGCGGGGGGAGGGGGGGGGGGGGTCGACTCACTTTAGGCGTTCTCTTCTTGTCCTTGACAGCTTTGGTTTACGGCTGGTGGCAGCGCCCGCGCTAAAGGTCAGGTGACGTCAGGGGCAGTGCAGACCGTGCCGAGCATTGCGTCGCGATACGCCATAAATAAACCTTCGCCGCCAAACCCTGCCGTTGACCTGGCATTGCGCGATCGGGTGGGAGGGGTAAGGGCTTACGCAACAAGCACTGCTTAGAGTGAGCTCTTTTCCCAGAAATCCATCCATTCAAAAGATTCGGATTAAAAATATCAGAAAGTACGCAAGACGAACGACGTCATTTTTTATTGTTCATGCAAATGCATTCTTGGATTTGAGGTTAAGATCAAGGCAACGAGTTTCCTCCAAATAACACCTCTTTTGCTCATAAGATAAATAACATATTTCTGTGTGTGATACGCACATAAAGCTCGTCAGGCGCAGGCACCAAGCTCGAGTAGTCCGTACTGGTGGGTCACGATAACGGTGGTATGTTCATAGTTAATGGCACAGCTAAATCACGATGAACGCGAAAGACAGTTTGAGTCCCCTATGCCGTCTTTGCTCTGTTGTTTTTCACTTGTTCCTCCTTGCATTTATTTTGCTGTCTACTTTTTGCCCCCCTTAAATGCCTTCCATTCGCTCACTGCACCTTTGCCGACGGAATTTCCTGCTCCTTGCGTTCGCTTTTCATCGAAGTTCTTCAAATTCAGGACGCCTTTAGACCTCAGTCACGCCTAAATTGCCATGGTCTGGAGCATTTACTGTACAAAGGGACTTGAAGTGAATCAGGTGAAAACTTGCGTTGCCTTCTAGAAGTGGCAAACTTTTTAAAACACAATTAAGCTTTGTGCATACGGAAAATTAATGCTCAAAAGATTCTCTTTGCAGTGTAAATAGGCCGTAGGATCCCCTTGCTATTTTTTCACTGCAAATGTTTGAATTGGCAATGGTGGCAGTTTTTAAAACGAGAATATTGACGACACAACATGAACACACGACAGTTGGGCGTAATGTACGCCTAGTCTATATACCACTGGGTGGACAAGAGATAAACGGCCAAACACTCAAGCCCCCGTTCTAACGCATCTAGCGCCATACTTTCCATCAACGTTACAAGAGGTTGCAGCTTGTTTCGCTGCGCGAATATGCAACGGTATTGACGTTGATAGCTGCGCCGTCACCGACTTGACGTTGGCTCGTATCTGAATCATGGTAAGTAGATATAAGTTAGAACAGGCGATTTACCAGAATACTTATTCACGTGGATTGGCCGCCAGAGGTTCTCCGAACTCACGCGGATGTTGACCGAAATCATGCCCGATCAGCCGGTTTCTAGTGGAAACGCCACCGGCAAGCAGGGGTGGTGTGGGGTTATATTACCCCACGCCTTGGATTTTCAGGATCCCATCCATTCCAGTCTGGCTAGTCCAGATCCAATTTGCCTGGCGACCCGCTTTTTCCCAGATTTCTCAATCTCATACGGTCCGGTCCGACTCACCGGAAATATTTTCCAAGCCAATTGGTGCCAATCTGCTTTAACATAACGGATATTTTAACAATGTGGTTCATCCGGGCACCTTAGATTTCACTTATTCCTGAACGCGCGCCCGGGTGGCCGTCTAGATATCCTTCGCTCGGGGGTCAATTTGACCATCCCTCCCGGA